TTGTTAATCATGTGGATGTAATAAATCATGTGGATGTAATAATTGTTAATCATGTGGATGTAATAAATCATGTGGATGTAATAATTGTTAATCATGTGGATGTAATAAATCATGTGGATGTAATAATTGTTAATCATGTGGATGTAATAATCATGTGGATGTAATAATTGTTAATCATGTGGATGTAATAATTGTTAATCATGTGTGTCTGCTGTGAACAATAATCATTTTCACATCATGAACAGTTACTCAGAATCACCTCTAAGTGTCGTCAATGGAACCAGAACCACAGAAACGTGCGTACACCAGCCCTGGAGTTGACGTGGGGCAGCGCATTTTTCCACGTTCAGTTGAGTTTTGATACATCCGGAGTTTTGCGTGGAAAATGACGTACGCAAGGTTTTTGTGCGTACGCACCGTTGATACATGAGGCCCCTGGTCATAACGCTGACAGACATTTGTCTTTTATGATTCTACAGTTAATATACCAAGCAGAGAACAATACAGCTGTGGATAAAAGAACAACGAAACCTGTGAGCGCTTGCCTACTGCTCTCAAACAACAAAAACTATCAACAACTAAAACAAAGTTATGATTACTTTATATGTAATTAAAGAAAAAAACTGTAGTAAAAATAAATGAGTTAAAACAACCTGTAAAATTCTGACTTGTAAAAAAAAGTTCACAAATCTGGTTTAGTGTGTAAAATGAGAAGCTAAAAACTGGTCTGGTGAGTTTTTTTTCTTCCTTTACAAAGACTACAACATTCCTCTGTCCTCAAACTAAAACTTAGCTGGAAAATGAAGAAAACAGACTTGTTCCAGCTACACAGCAATCTATACCAGACCTTTAAAATGATCGAAACGGCTCTAAGATATTTCAGATAATTGTTGCAGCGCAACACAACTACATTCAGTTACACTTGAAACAATGAAGCTCTTGTTTTCATGAGCTCCTGGGCCCCCCGCTAACTGAAAAACAGCCCAAAACTTAAGTTATTACCTGATAATCTACATCCATCCCATTTTTTTAGTTATACTAAAATAAAAAAGGTTCAAAAATAAGCTATTCCACAGCTAAACAAGTTAACACTGTTCACACATGCTACACAGTGAAGTTTCAGTTTTGCAAGAGAAAACTCTTCCACTTTCACTTCTATAAGTTAATACAGCTCTCAATTTTGCTTTCACTTTTATTTGCAAGGGGGCACGAGTGGAGCCAGCCAAAACAACTCCTCAGCTTCGTCAGGACTACACACACGGACCGGCTGCTTCTGCACACATTCAACTTCTTGACATTTTTTTTTCTTCAGCCTTTGAACCGTGAGTATATTATCTTTGCATGTAGTCTCAGTTAACGTATCAGTTATTTACCCTTCAAAGGATCTCCTAAAGTTGTACACGCGCTGTTTCCTGTGAACACGCCCGTTTCTCCGAGTGCATTGGCCTTTAAGCAAATGAAGAAAATAAAACGTGAGAACTCGGAAAGATTAGGAGCTTTGACTAATTCGTCTCAAGTTGTGAGATTGTACCTTGTCATTGTCGTCAAATAACAGAAAGCCATAGGACTCCTTGAGATCATGGTCTGAGTAGCCTGCGAGTCTCCTTTTGGCTTGAAAAGCATTGTACTGTTGTCAAAGAGTAATGGAAAGAAATCGTCTTGATAACTGATTTCATGAATTTCAAATTTCTAAAAGGTATAATATATATGAATAGCTCTTTAAGCGACTTTAAATATTGTGACTCTGTGGTTAGGGTTATATAAATCGTTGGGACTTGCTGGTCTTACCTTTTCTTCCAGTTCAGGGTTTTTCACTAAAACAGCAGACTTGTACCTGAAAAACTGTCTGGACTCTTCATACAAGTACGCACTTTGAAGTGGAGCTAGAATACAGCTCTGAAACTCTTCGGAGGTCTCTGGAACAGGTATTAAAACACCTGGGGAGTGTAAACACACACAAAACATGGAAAGGGTTAGAACACACACACACACACACACACACACACACACACACAAACAGACCAGCTGGAAAATTACAGCAAACTGCAGTTCTGAGAACCATTAGGAAAACTACGTGGTGTTTCACAATCCTGGGACAGTCCGACCTGCTGAACGACACCTAACTAATGCGTCACTCTTGTTCATTCACACACAAAAAACGAGGTTTTATCCCAAATAAGCTCGTCAACACGTGCCCTTTAACTTCCTGTTTTCAGGGAAAGTAGGGAAAAGCTGTTCACCTTCAGTCGAGGCACCACCATTTTCCATCGCTTATGAAATATGTCCTTGTCTCTTTCGTCGTTGAAAACAGCCGTCCTCGGTTCCGAACATCACAATCGAACAACAGCGATAAAAACCATAAAACTCCATGAATCCTGTCAGCGTTAAAGCTAGCAGACCGAGTCCCTCGCGCTGGAGCCCACTGACATGACACGGAGACGACCAGGAAGTTACACACACACACACACACACACACACACAAAAAAAAAAAAAACCCACACACACACCACTCGGTCCAAACAAGAAAAGCCAGCAAATCCAAACGGAAATAAGTATTATCTCCCTTCAAGTGACGTCTCCGTTGGCTTAGGACATTAGGTCTGCCTCTTGGCTCCTCGCTGGGACGGTTCGACTCGTGCCCGGTCCGAAGTGAAAAAGAAACAGAAACCTATCGAAGCTACAGAGCGGCCATCTTGAAACTACACTGAACAAGTGGCTCAGCCGCTGGTTGGACTCGTTTTACTGAAGGTGGGTTTTTTTTCCTCCTCTCTGCTGGCTGTTTCCCGAACAGTGAATGTGAACGGTTTTTTGCAGTAAACTATCTAAAAGCACTTCGAAATCCAAAATTGCAAATATATGTTTATGTGCTAATGTCTACTCAGCCCCTTCTGAAGACAGTTCAGTAATTTATCTGAGTTTAGAGGAAGTTTGCAGTGGTAAAACTGCACACTTCCCCCACTCATTAACCAGACTAACTACTGGATTTTTGTCTGCAACAAACTCCCATTTAAAACAAGCTTGACTCGCAAATGAACACTTTTATAAGTAGAGATGAACAAAAGTTTTCTTGACTGAATCCCTGGTCCGATTTTTGTAAAAGATGACCAGTTCCGACTTATTTTTAAAAGCTATAAATAATAGCATAGCCTACATTAAATATTTTATTTATAATTTATATTTTAGCTCAAAAATTGTGCGTACTTCAGAAAATGTTTATAGATTCTTCAATGTTACTTAGTCATATACTTAACTTTGTTGAAAACCTGTTTTTATGTAATGATCATTTTTGCTTTCTATCACTTGGTTTGTTTTTACATCTTTCCACTATTACAATTCGTTTTATTAAGTAAGAATTTTTAATATTGAAGATGTAGCACACTAATGCTAGCGCAAACTAGCTGCTTAGCTGTGGTGCGTTCACGGTCAGAAGAAAAATTAGATTTTTGAACTTCAAAAACTGATTGATTCCAGTCGTCAACAGAATAATTAAATGTTTACGTTAACTTAGCAAAATTATTTAAAAAATGTTTAATGGTGCGTTCACACCAAACGCGATTTCAGCATCAGGAGCATCAGGTTTACATGTAAAGTCTATGGTGGACGCGCTTCAATCAGCGTCGGGAAGTTCTGCGGCACCTCAAGCGTGATTAGAGCAGCGCGATTTGAACGATCTGAGCATTTGACGCGCTGAGGCGCAAATCGCTGAAGTTAGAAAATCTGAACTTTTGCAGCTCGACACGCAGCATCAACCAATCAGAGAGACTCCACTGTGTGACGTAGTGACATATTTCCCGACGGGACAGTTTACTGAATGATGTCCACTAACCTGAAACAGACGGAGAGGAGCTCTTTAGCTGAAATCGAGTGCCTGCAGTCGTGTCCTGACAGAGATATCCACACCAATGCGTGGCAGCTACTCATCAGACTGGAAAAATAGTCCTGAAAGCGAGCTGTGAGCCTCTACTCTGAATTATCTGGTGAATTAATTATGAATTAAT